TGGCTGGAGAATTCTGGGAGTTGAAGTCCACAAGTCTTAAAGTTGCCAACTTTGGGAACCACTGCTTCAGATGATGGCCATTGACTGTTCACCTTTCCTCAACAACCCCTTTTAACAACGAGCAAGTCCATCACGGCCACAAGCCCATCTCAATCCCAGAGCCTTTTAGAGGGGTGGGGGGCTCCCACCCCCAGTGTCGCCCATCCACACGGCTGGCTGGGGGAACCCCGGGAGCCTCTTAAAAGCCCCGAGACTGCGGGACGCAGCAGGTGCATAAACCCACCCACCCCCCAATTCGGGCACCAGGCGCAGCTGCTGCTCACCTCCAGCAAGAGCTGGTCCAGCCTCTGGTGCCGACTCCAAATGCGCAGGGCCGCTTCCCGCAGCTCCTGCTGGGTCTTGGGCTCCTCCTTCGGCTTCTTGCATCTTCCCGCTAAAAAGAGAGGAGGGTGAATTGGAATTCATTTCTTTCCCTTCCTCTTCCATTGAGGGGCTTCCCAGTTCCTATCCCTCCTTGAGCATGTGCAGAGCTCCTTGAGCATATGCAGAGTGCAAGCCCCCCCCCCTTTCGGGGCAGCACGAGGCCATGGCGGAGAGTCTCTGGGCATGTACAGAGCGCTGCAGCCTCCCCCCACCCCCCCGTACCCAGAAGGGCGGAAAGCGCTCGGCCGGCCATTCTCCCAGGTCGACGCCTCCCACCAGCCAACTAGCGCGCCCTACGTTCTGATTGGCCGCCGTTTGAACGCCTCCTCCAATAAGAAGGGGAGAAAAGAAGAGAGTTTTCCTATTTGCTAAGCGGGAACTGCGGCCATTTGGGGAGGGGAGGGAGGGAGGGAACGTCCCGACCGCCATCTTTAGTGTGGCAAGAAAATCGATCCTGGCAGAGCCTCCGTGCGGGGGAGGCCTACTGCGCAGGCGTGGCTTGCCGAAGAAGGCTACCTTTGTACGGGCGCGCGCGTGGGGATTTCTGGGACTCTAATTCGGGAGAAATGATTGCAGAGACGGGCTACTTTCCGGCTCATTGGCAACCATTCGCCCGTGCAATAAGCTGGCTAGCGGAGTCTCCGGCTTCCCTTCCAGCCGTTGCCTCCAACCTCAGGCCGGCCGACTTTGGCGGGGAGGAGGCGGATTCCTGAAGTGGGGAAACTTTTGCTTTCGCAAAGCGGGTGCTTTGCCCACGGAAAACACTGCACTAAATCTCCAAATAATCCAAGCAAAGCAAAAAGCATTTATTTAAAGGGGGGGGGTCGTCTTTTCATAGGGTACAGAAACAAATGGTATATGTGATACTCGGCAAGAAAAGCGATCAAAGAATAAAAGACCTTAAATGTGAAACTTGAACAAAAGGAAACATTGATTCTAAACAACATCCCACAAGTGGCAAATTTATGGGTCGTATGACTTTCCCAGCTGGCTGCGTATCCTGAATGTTGCAAGTGTATTCAGGGACGTTCAGAATACAGGATTCCTGAATAGTACTGAGAAGACAAACCTAATGTTAGGGATGTAATCCTAGTCTTGGGTTGGCTTACATATATATATATATATATTATATTGGCTACTCTGTATGTTAGCTCCCTGTCTACATGGTGAATTGTGAGTTGAGCACCTGTAAACCAACGTGTTGTATCATAGACTGTGCATATATAATTCAAGACTTCTTATCGCTTGTTTTGGAGAATGTTTATCCTGCTTTATTTTTGTTAAAACAAGTAAAGTTATCCTTGTT